CTAGCTTGATAAACACTAAACGAACGAACATGAACTGAACATGAACCAAACATGAACACTTCTTAATTTAAATGAATCAAACATGAACACAAACGCAAAAGCTCGAACAAACATGAACCAAACTTGAACAAGCTGATATTAAATGAACACAAACATGAACACTCACATACTCGGCTCGGCTCAGTTCGTTTGCAGCCCTAGTCAAGAAGCTATGTGCCTTCTCAATTTGGCGTTGGCAGGTTTTTGGTGGTATCATGTCCTGCATATAAGCAAAAGCTAGCAAGATTTTGTACCATTTTATTTTGGCGGTGGACAGGTTATTTCCAACCCATATGGTAAGATAAAGACTTGATATTGTTGTTATTTATACAGGTTATTGTGGTATGTTGTCCAACGAAGTTTGATTTCGTATCTTATAATTGTTAATGCGGAATTTCAATCTGATCAATAGCAGATTTTTGCAGCTACCCAAATGCAGCTTTTTTAGTGAGGACTCTGAAGATTTGTTTAGCCTACTCTTCCTTTTTATTTTTTTTATAATTATTTTAATTCATTAAATTCACGGGGATTTTAGAATTATAAAAGAGGCCTGATGCATGTAAAAACTAAATAAAATACTTTTGAATAAATTTCTAATGGATATGCAATTCCTTCAAGCCTAAGCTTAGATGAGGTGGGACCAAAGTTTTGCGAGATAATTTAGCTTTTGTAGAAGCATGAGATTTTCTCCTAATGAATTCAAGAAGATATGCAAAATTTGCACAAATTCTAATTTAATAATTATCCAATTTTAGAAATTTTGTGAGAAATTTGAAATCACAAAATCCATGTTTCGATCAAGGGTCACACTAAATTCAAATATCCAATTTGTAACAATTTACCTTAAATCAATTAAGCACGCAAAACCAATCACAAATTACATAGAAGAAACAGTATAAGGAAAAGAAATCAATAATAAAGATTCAAGTCTTAAACAAATACAAGCAGATAGCATACCATGGAAGTAAGTAATCAACATTTCTATTCCATTCGAAAAACTCACAACTAAAATGCACACAAGTTTGAGAGGAAAGAAGAAATTGCATTAATCAAGTTGTTTTTACCACAGTCGAACTGCAATGTAAGATTTATGTGTGGGTACGGGAATAGCAAAAATAGAAGCATTACAAAGATAAACACAGAATAACAATTGCAAAAATATCAAAGAGATGAGCATTAGAGCAACAACTATGATCTAGCGAGGAGCATGTAGTGATATCATGACATAGAAGATGATCACGTATAAGAGGAGTTAAGTATTAATTTACAGTTTTTGAAAAATTCAGCTCCGTCAAAATAAGCATTAATATTCATAAAAAAAAAGGTCATAACTATTCTGCTTCCTATAATACAATGTTTGAATCATATGAAGGCTTATACTACCAAAGTACTGGACACAGTTGTATTCACCATAGATAGTGAACACAACCTTATCATCTAAAATTACTTTTGAAACAAGATGTACAAAACTATATATAAAGTGTTGGATCTGAACTCCCAAGAATGAGACAAACAGATATAAGAATCCAAGGCATTTATAACAGGTTCCTGAGATCAAATCAGATACATTAAAGATTGGATTAACACACAAACTTTTGAAAATTTCAATTTAAAATCAGTCATTCTAATGTGTTTCATGATTTATATCGCCACATCTTTTCAGCAATTAACTTATTAAAGGCTTTTCTTTATTTACTTTAATTTTCTTCAACTTTTTTTGAGATTTAATATTATTCTTTCACCTTTTTTAAATTTCATAGGCCTCTATTCACATCAACAATACACTTATAATTTTCATAATTAATAGTCATTTTTTAGTATGAATAAACTAATAAAAATAATATATATATATATGAGGATTCATGATGTCTGCCATAAATAGTTTGGATAAACCTAGTGATAATGATAATAAGACGAATATATATATTATTTTAGGTGTAATTCTTAAACTCATTCTTCACAAATCATTTTGAACAACTTCTATCTATATAACATTAGATCTAATCAAATTCCTGTAACAATAATATGCATAATAATGGATATCATTAAAGAAGCTATCCTAGAAGAAAGAATGATGAAGAAACTAAGAGCCAACTAATCAGATATATGATATGCTTATATGGATGAATTATTTTTGAAGAAAACTTGTTCAAATTTAAATATTAGCAATAATGAATTATTCTCTCTATATATATAATTTGAAATTTAAGATTTTTTTAATATATTCATCATCAATTAATTCTATGAAACATTGACACAACTTAACTCTTTCCTTGAGGTCCTTTTTATGAATTATGAATAAAAACATAAAATCAATATTATTTGCTCATTCATCATGGGCATAATTCTCATAGATAATTCATTAAATGTTATTTTATCAAATTGCTCAATTGATTAATCAACTATCATTAGCATGATTTGTTTAGGTCCTAAGTCAAGAATAGATTCAATTTCTAACAGATATTCAAGTTTTCATGTGAACGCATGCTCAGTCTTTTTTAAACTCAAATACTAACTTATATTCAAAATTAGGTTCGCGCTCTTGAACATGATATCTCATGCTCCTCTCATTAAGATTTATAGATAAGACTGTTCTGTAACAAAGTTCTTGTTGGCTGCTCTGGAGGCTTATGGCTTGTTTTGTTAGAAGTAAATTGGGTTTGGTATCCTTGCACTTATATTGCTCTAGAAATTTCGTGCCTTCTTGGTTTGGAGACAGCTAGATTTTTGTGGTATGGTGTCTTGCAGATAAGTAAAGCCAGGAAGGTTTTATGCCCTTTTGTTTTGGCAATGGACTAATTGTGGATGTACATTGTCCTTGTAGAATACAATAGGGGTTAATGTCTTATGAACGATTGCTAATGTGGGATTTTAGCTAGGAGTTAAGATGCAACCTTCTTAGCTAAGTCTTGCGATATTTGCTGTTAAGTCATATTTTTTACTTTTTTTTTATATTAGTATATCCTTGAGGACTTTAAGATTGCAAAAATAATATTACCCATTTACAAACCCAATCAAGTATTTTTGAATAAATTTCTTATAAATTTATAATTTCTTCATATCTTCTCCCGGATCAAATGAGATCGAAGATTTGCAGAAGTTATCTCCTTTCACAAGCCCGAGGTTTGAATCTTCTTATTTGGTGACTTCGATTCCTACATCTTATTTTCTTCTCTAAATTATTGCTATTGGTTTCAGGTATAATCGATATATGAAAAAAATCGATCTCCGTTATATCTGCCTCCATTAATTCCACCCCCATCAATTCTGCCTACATCAATGTTTCAACAAGCCCAGCAATCCTCCACCTTATTTAGTCACATCATGCCACATAGTGATCTGTGAGATTAATAGTGACCTCATTAATTCATGAACTATTGTAATTATTTTATAACTATTATTCTGCCACCTAATAAATTTGTGGACTATTGTAATTATTATTCTATGTTTTTATTAGAAGCACTCTTATGATTATATAAATACCGCACAAATGTTAGAATGAAACAATTTATCAATTATCTCTAATTCCTGCCGTAGTATCAGAGCCATAAGCTTTTTTATTTTTTTTTCCATCTTTTGTCATTATACTTCCACTATAGCAACCTTCATCATTGTAATGCGATAATCATGTGGCATTTATTCATGTCCTCTTCCTTTTCCCTATTCTTTTCTATAATTGTAGCTTTCATCGCCGGTGTTATAGTCACCCTATTGTATTATAACTATAGCCTTTATCATTGCATTATCGTAAATACTTTCCATTAATGCAACCTTGATCGCTATAATTTCACAAACATTTTCCATCATTGCATTGCCACAAATTGGCCCCATCTTTGCAAACTACATTGCTACATCGATAAATTAGTCCCATTTTTGTTCATCACTATATTGCTGCATTTCTTTCTTTTTTTTTTCTCACGAACAAAACCATAATTTCACAATCCATAAACAATAATAACAATATCCACACAAATCCTTAGTCACAGGTTCTCTTGAAATTGAGATATGCAATTTAAATCCAATGAGTGAGTTGTATAACATTTATTCAACATATTGTTTGAATGAAAAGAACTACCTAAAGTAGTCGTAATTGGATTGTAGGTTCTTAAAGGAAAGAGGAAAATAGGGCCACTTATAAGGCAATAAAAATTGGGTCAATTTTCATAAATTATTAGGCGAGGGAGTGTAAAAAAAAAATAATCTACACCAAATCCACCTCCATCAATATTCCACAAAACCCAAGGGCTCTACCTTCCTTACTCCATGCCACCTCAGTAATCCAGGGATTATTAGTGCCATCCCATCCATTGACTATTGCAATTATTTTATAATTATTATTTCTATACCTCATCAATCAATGGATTATCACAATTATTCTAATAACTATTATTTTTTTATTTTGTATATTGGCTAGTAGAAGCTCTTTTAGAATTGTATAAATAATGCACAAATATTTAAAATGAAACAATAAACCAATGCTCTCCCATTCTTGTCATCATATTTTAGCATTACTATGATGGCATGATTTTTACTAGTTGTATAGTTTTCATGTTTCCACATTTCTATACATTATTTCTAAGAAAGTGCTATTAAATTATCATTAATGTGAATTTATTAATATTTTTAATTTAATTAAAAGTAACTAATAGTTGTTAAAATTAATAATTTGTGATTTATATATCTACTTGGAATTGTATGATTTTGAGCATCTAAATACATATGCATATTAGCAAACATTAAACCTTATGACACCATGCATCATTATACTTTTCATAAGCCACATTTCTTTCAACTAAAAGAAAAGAAAAGATAACTAAAAAAAAACACTAAGTAATCAATAACAATTTTTATGATAAAATAACCTCATAACATCATAAATTGCGAAAGCCTCCGTCTCATATCCCAATTTTTCACCACCCTGAAAAAATGTAAAAAACAATACGACATCAAAAAAGTATAAAGCATTAGTGGAACAAGATTAAAATATCCAAAAAAGGCAATAAATTTAAAATAAGCAAGCACAAACAATAAACTTGAATGCAGGTAACATGCATAAACTAAGCTCACCATCTCCATATATTTATATATATATATATATATATCATTGTTTTAAATTATGCAATATGAGGCGCTCCTCAACGCAATTTCAAACAAAAATGCCTCGAGTTTAAAATGACAGACATATGCCTCAATTTTGTTGAGGTGTGCCTTGCCTCGCCAATTTTAGTTTTTTTTTTTAATATAAAAACTTATCCATAACTAAATTACAATTCAACTTCGCCTGCATTCCCTCGTCGTATAGCCCTAGACCCGTCTACGGTTTGCTTTTCCTATGGCATTGTTACTTCGACTATGCATGAAGTAGAATTTCGAAAGAGACTGTAATGAACCTCTCAGCCTCCCTTGACTTCTTTGGCTACGCATGAAGTTGAGTTTCGAAATAGCCATTAAAGAAGCTTCTCTACTTCCTTTGACTGCTTCAACTATGCATGAAGTAGAGTTTCAAAAAAGTCATTCAGGAAACTTCTTGTTGCCATCGGATCGAAAGTCGAAATAGGTGATCAATGCAAAGGTAAAACCACGAGTGTGTTATTTTTTAGGGGATAAAATCACTTCGTCCTAGCATTTGTTCATTGTTAATTTAGGCTTTAAATCTTATTGTTCCCTTTTTAAATTGTTGTTAGCAAAGGCTTATATTTTTTTTTGTTCCTATGTAGTGGAGCTTTAATCTCATTATTATCTTTTTTCAATTTTCGTTTGTCAAGGGCGTAGGTTTTTTGTTCCTTTGTCAGGATAAGTAAACTTCCGGAAAGTATTGTTGCGGGTGATGTCAAGGTGCATACATGAGGATTCTTTTGGATCATCATATGTGCAAAAACAACTTATGATTTCTTAATGCTTTATTAATTTTATTAACTTTGCTCACATTTTTAGAATTAAGCTGAAAGAAAATTTTCCTCTACACTTTCTTATATATTTAGAAATCGAGCACACTCCAACTCACCAGTCTTCCCTGGACACCCATGCGCGCTCCAACCTATGACTTTACATGAGCCACCAGTCCAATCCCGAGTCCAATGCCTTCTTGTCTCTACGAGGTTCTTGATCTTGTTTTTATCTCCACTGCTCTGACACACCAAATTTGATCTGCTTGCTGATTTTCTCCTGTTCGGACCCGAAGACTCCATCTCAAAGATCTAAACCGATCTTTGTCCCAAGATTCTGCAAGATTTGTCGTCACCTAACATAACTTTGCCTCCATCACTCATTTCAATTTATTCAAACCAATCTCTGTTTGGTGTCATATGAAATGAACAATTAGAGTCTATGATCCAATCTCTGTTCGAGTTGTTCGTTGAAGCTACCAAAAACTCTGATGATTCATACTCCCTAGAGTTTGCTGCTACATTTGCTCTTGCCTCTTCATTGGGTTTCTTAGTCTGCCCATTCATTCTATCCGAACAATCACGCCTGAAATGATCTTCTTTATGACAGTGGAAGAATTTCCTAGCAGTTCTTGATTTTGATCTAAAGTGATTCATGTATTCTTTTCTGCTTTTATTGGTTTTATATTCTATCCTTCCTCTAATAGAAAGACTTTCAGTAGCCTTGTCTTCTGTCAACTCTATTCTTATTTGGATTTCCTTCAATATCAGCACAGACTTCACTTCGCATCCAGGCTCTCGCACCCAGCGCGACACCCACATGAACCACGGCCTGGGCACGCGCTCACGCGTGACCGAGGCCCTGTGCACGACCACCCATTCGCATTCACCCACGCATGTCGATCGCAGCAAAGGCTGCTCTACGCCCGCCTGTTGCGAAACCATGGCTCAACTTCCATGCCTAGCATACCCAGCGCCTATTGTGCGAGCCTCCTCTCCCTTCCGCCTCAAGCCAGTGTGCCCAGGCTTCGCCTCTGCTTCTGTATGCAAGACTTGTTCTGAAGCATATCACCCACAGTTGAACACCTTCTCTTCTTGATTACAAGAGCATTTTCCTCATTCCTCGAGATCGCCTCAACGAGGCTCTAATAGCACTTGTTAGGAATCTTACTTGAGGAAGAGAAGCTTCTTGAACTTCTTGGAAGAGAGAGAGAGAGAGGGAGGAGAGGGAAGTAGGAGCTACAGGAATTCTATTGCTTTACTCCTTGAGTTTACAAGGGGGTAATCATCACATCAACCTACAATGCTTATTTATAAGTATTTACACATGGTGTAGTGTCTAGCAAAACAAAATAATTTAAAACTGGATCAATTCATAATAAAAACAATAATAATCTTTAACTTTATCTATTTTGATTGATCAGTTGCCATACAGAAATTGATTTCCTAAAATCATGAATATGTGAAGAATCACTGACCTTCGTTGTGCCTGTGGAGTTAATGTATAGGTAAATAGGCTTTTGCTCATCTTCATATTGAAGGTAAAGAAACTCGGCTAGAATTAGCTCCGTCACCGAAGGCACCAAGGACATACCCAAATATACAATTCGATTTTTGTACAAATACGAAGCTAGATCAGGAGGCGGTTGCTCCCATGCACTTCCTCTTAGGAATGGAATGACCTGCAATAAAACATAAAACATGAACTAATAATAAAATCAGGACAAGCCCTCTGAAATGGATCTCACAAAAGCAGGAACAACCATTCATTTTCTACAGGTAACAAGTATCAAGATTCCTAAATATTATAAAGGTCCTTTTAAATTCTACAAGCATAAATTACACCTTGCTCTATTACACCCTTAGAGTCTGAAGCACAATTTAATGCATAGTACACCCATCTAAATTTCTTGGGAAGCAAGGGACTTTTATCCTAATGAATTGGTTAGGAAAGGGAAACAGTAACCTAAGAAAGAAGCATACTTCATAACCTTAATCCATAGAAAATGCTACAATTGGTTACAGCAAGTAAACATAGCATGCACAAGAACTTAAACTGGAGGATAATGAATTCAAATCTATATTAATACTATAAATGTAATTAGATGTTTATGCTAGATAAGTAGAAGCTGAATATTCAACCTCACTGAATATTCTGCCTCGTATCATATTTTTAGACATGATGGCCTAGTCAGCTATTTTAAATTTTTTAGTGTCAAATAAGATTGTAGGAGATGAGCTTAAGATGTAATTCATCTAATATCTCCATAACTCTGAAGGGACAATTAGACATGTAAGACAATGAAAAGAAATGAAGAGTATTCCATTTCAATATTTACGTAGTATTTATACAACCCTAGGAGGACTTCTAATAAGAAAGATATAAAATCAAGGAATAATGTTTACTGTATGATTAAAACAGTTCATGGTTGATGAGGGGTAGAATAATTACAATATTTTATTGATTGATGAGGAAGCAGTAAAGATCCCACAGATCAATGAGATGACAATAGAAGAGAAAGGTACAAGGGTCTGAGTGTGAATTCCAACTAGCGGAAATAATGTAGACGTTTCACACTCCCCCTTAAGTGAATATATGGATGCCATACATTTCAATATTGTTTGATAATTTCTAAAAGACTAGCCCTCATTTGATGAGAATGTCAATAAATTATTCACTAGTGATTAAAACAGAGTATAAATTAGATTATAATCAAGCTTCTCATTTATAAAGTGCCTATCAACTTCAATGTGTCTTGTCTGATCATGTTGCACAAAATTATGTGCAACATTGATAGCTAAATTGTTATCACAATAGAGCCTCATGTGATCTTTTTATTAAATTTTTAAATCTTCCAAGATAAATTTTAATCATAGCAATTTGTAGATTCTCAATGTCATAGAACTAAATATAGCTTATGTGCAAGATCTTGCTATCACATTTTGCATTACTATTCTAACATCAAGAGGTTGCTTCTTAATATATGCAATATTCTAAAGTTGACCTCCTATCAATCATAAAACCTGAATAATTTGCATCTATCTATGCTTCAAGAGTGAACTCATCCCTCTTTCTAAACCTTTGTCCGGGTTCTTACAAATATTATATATTGTATATGTTGCCTTAACATGTGATTATTTAAGATTATGTATGAATTGACTCACCACACCAATAAAATAAGCCGCCAGCTTGTGATAGGAGATTTTTTCTCTACTATTGAGTCTTATGGAAAATCTCCAAATTTATGATTGAATTTCATGGGGCTATCAATAATTTTGCATCCTAATTAAGTCATCTCTTTTAATAAGTTTGTTATATATTTTTCATTGTAATATGAAAATTTCATAACAAAAGTGAAACTACAATGCTATGGAAAACTTTAGCTTGCCTAATTATTTGGCTTCAAATTCTTGGCATAATCTTTATTTAAATTCTTCATTCATTCCAAGTCACTGCCAATCACACTAATGTCTCTAATGCAAAGACCTTTAAAGCCACGTATTTCACAAATAATGTATAGTTTCATTGGCTTAATTTGTATCCTATGTTGAGCATTATATTAATGAATCTTCCGAACTTTGCCAATGGAAATTGTTTCAGCCCTTACAAAATTTTTTTAGCTTACATACATTTCGTTATGTATTCGAACTAAATATGAGTGGGACCTCTATATATACTTCCTTCCTCCAGATAATCATGCTAGAAGCATTCTTCACATCATATTATTGTATCTTCTAGTCCCTGTTAGCTTTTTAAAATAAGAGAACTCTAACAATATTAATTTTAGTAATTGGAGAAAAAATTTTAAGAAAATCAATCTCATACATTTAAGTATAACCTTTGGCCATTAGTTTAGCAAACCTTGTTGTCTTTTTCCCCTTGTAAATGGCTCAATTTTTTTCTTACCTTCAAGAACCTATGAACAATTCGTGCCCACTTTAGGTTTTTTTTATTCCATTAAATCGATATATTAAATGAATATTTTGCAACTCTCCCATTAGATTTAGATTGCATCCTCAATTTCAAGATAACTTCAGACAAAAAACATGTAGGCATTGTATTTTTTTCCATGAAGAGTTAAATTATGGTTTTGGAAAAAAGAAAGAAATATGACAATCAGAGATAAATGCAACAATAATGGGACCAATTTGTGGCAATACAATGATTACGATTGCAACAATATATTGATGAAGGTTGCAATCTACGATGCACCGACACTTTTCCTCAAAAACATATGCAGCATCCAACACGTATCAAACATGTCACGCATTCAACCTATGTTGCACTGATACATATACGACACGTTACGGATACGGGACACGCCAATTCTGAAAAATACAGGATACGGTTACGGCGTGGACACGGCATTATAATTTATAAATCACACATAAAAATTAAGAAAGCATTCAAAGCATAATATTTGAAATGATAAAAAATGAAAGCAACATCATTGGTAGCCTTGTAGCTTATAATATAAAAAAAATAAGCATTAAATATTTAGTACAAAAACAAAAACATAAATTGTCTAGCACATGAAGTTTCAACTATTCAATAGAAGGAATGATAGGACTAGCTTCTTCAGTGGTTTGTCTTTGAACTTCTATATCATCTTCAATGAATATCATAGCTTCCAATTCAGGCTCGTCAACTGAAAGATTTACAGTTTCTAATATTCTCATATCCTCAAGAGATTCAAATCCATCTCCAACAACACCCCACATCATATTATCTCCTCCCGTATAAGTTGGAGTTTTCTTTGATGGAAGCCGAAGGTTTATATGCACAAAAACTAAATTTTCAGCCCGTTGTGGAGTAATTTTATTTCGCTTCATTGAATGGATGAAAGAGTATGTGCTCTAATTTCTTTCACAACAAGATGAAGATGAAACTTGGCCAAGCAATTTTAGGTGATTGTTTGAAGTAGATGCTTTGAAGCTCCATATATCAACCACCACATTTTCGGATCAATTCTCCACCTATCATGCAATGACTCTTGGTCACCAAAATCCTCTAAATAATCAAAAACTTTTGCAAGCTCAATATTGCACTTCTTCTCTCCTCATTTGGAAAATAACGCTTCAAACATGTCTTCCTCATATTTGAAAGTTTTAAATCTTTATGTGGAGAAACTGATTGAGGATCCTCCTGAAGCCATTATTTACTTGAATATATTCAAATAACATTAAAAGGAAATAGTTTTAGATAATTACTAAACAAAAAATTGTGAATTAATAATGAAAAAATGTTGAAATTTATCTGGAATTTAGTGAGTGAGCCAAGCAATGTAAATGTGTATTACTTTTGCTTCACCTATCTTGTAGAATAGCATAAATAACATCCAAAAAACTTGAGTCTTCATGAAATGCCTTCCTCTCATGTCTATATATAATTTCTTTGACCTTGGCTAGCATTGAATCTCACATCTCATAAATGAGATGTAAATAAGACTTATCTGTATCAGCAACTATCAACATCTCATAAATTGGATCAGTGAAATTTAAGATGTATTCAATCTCATCCTACTATAAATCATCTAAAAGATTTTCTTTTACATACCTAGCATTTTCAACATCATCTTCCCTATAACAGGACCATTTGTCACTGATCACCATAGCTTGAAGAGCATTTTTAATTTTTTTGAATCTTCTCAACATCACTATAACTGAGGCAAATCGAGTTTTTGTAACTACAAGCATCTTCAAATTAGAAAAATCATTGAATATATAGAGTCTCATAGAGTAATTCATAATAAAATTTCTGATTATAACTGCATCTCCAGTAATAAATGTAATCCAATGACATTCATTGTAAGTGATTTAGTTTGCCTCGGTATTCTTAGCTGCAGAAATATTCTACAAGGCAAGATTAAGTGTATGCATAATACATGGTGTCCAGAAAATATGAGGATAATCTTGCTCCACAAGTTGATCTGCAGCTCTACAAACATGTGCATTATCAATAATGACCCGGATGATGTTTGAAGGCCCCACCATCATGAAGACTTCTTTGATTAAATTAAAAATGAAGAACATATCCTTGTACTGTCCTTCACAATTAACAACTTTTATAAGCATAGGATAGCTTTCTGTTACTGCCATGAAGTTGATAAATGGTCTTTTTTGTAGATCTGTCCACCCATCACAAACCAAAGTAACTCATTTTTCCTTCCAAACTCCTTTGGTAGGCTCGAGCAACTTCTCAATGTTATCCATCTCTCTTTGTAATAACTTGGTTCTAATGGCATTATATCCTGGTGTGGCGTATCCTGCAAGATTCATATTGCATACGAAAGTAAAGACATTCTTGTAATGTGAATTCCTTGCTAAATTAAAAGGAACTCCAGTTGAGCAAAACATTCTAGCTATTTTCCCATCTAATTGTTTTCTCATTTGTAAATTAAATGTTCTCTCCAAAGCACTATCGACAACATGTTTTCTTTTTTTAGGTTCATATCTCTCCATCCCGAAAAGCCCTCTGTTCACAGTATTATCATCACTTTGAATTGAAGAAGATGAAGGATATAAAGCATGGGTGCTTGGTAGAAGAATATCTTTTGGAAGCTCTTTTCTACTCCTCTGCTTAGCTTCACTAATTTTTCTTTTTAATTCAGCCACTTATGATAAGCTTATCTTCAAGCATACTTTAATTTCATGACCACTAATATTCAACAAATGGGCTTTC